GTTAATTTTAGCCATTCTAACTGGTGTGAGGTGGTATTTCAGGGTGGTTTTGATTTGTATTTTTCTGAGACAATTGATGTTGAGCATTTTTTCATGTGGCTGTTGGCCATTTGGACGTCTTCTTTGCAGAAATGTCTGTTCATGTCTTCTGCCCATTTCTTGATTAGATTATGTGTTCTTTGGGTATTGAGTTTGGTAAGTTCTTTATACATTTTAGATACTAGCCCTTTATCTGATATGTCATTTGCAAATATCTTCCATTCCTTCAATTGTCTTTTGTTTTTTATCAACTGTTTCCTTTGCTGTGCAAAAGATTTTATCTTGATGAAGTCCTAATAATTCAGTTTTGCTGTTGTTTTCCTTGCCTTTGGAGATATATCTAGTAAGAAGTTGCTGCAGCTGAGGTCACAAAAGTTCCTGCTTGTGTTCTCCTCTAAGATTTTGATGGATTCTTGTCTCATATTCAGGTCTTCCATCCATTTTGAGTCCATTTTTGTGTATGGCATAAGGAAAATGTCCAGTTTTAATTCTTCTGCATGTGGCTGTCCAATTTTCCCAATGCCACTTGATGAAAAGACAGTATTTTTTCAATTGGACATTCTTTCCTGCTTTCTCAAAATTGGTACACAGAGTTGAGGGTCCATTTCTGGGTTCTCTCTTCTGTTCCACTGATCTGTCTGGTTTTTTGTTTTTGTTTTTGTTTTTGGCAGTACCATACCGTCTTGATGATTATAGCTTTGTAATAGAGCTTGAAGTCCAGAATTGTAATGCCACCAGCTTCAGTTTTCTTTTTAAACATCTCCTGGTGATTTGGGGTCTTTTCTGTTTCCATACAAATTTTAGGATTATTTGTTCCAGCTCTGTGAAAAAGCTGATGGTATGATAGGGATTGCACTGAATTATAGATTGCTCTAGTTAGTATAGATATTTTAGTAATATTTTTTCTTCCAATTCATGAACATGAAATGTTTTTCCATTTCTTTGTGTCTTCCTCAAATTCATTCAGGAGCATTCTATAGTTTTCTGAGTACATATCATTGCGTCTTTGGTTAGGTTTATTCCTAGGTTCTTATGGTTTTTGGTGCTATAGTAAATGGGACTGACTCTAATTTCTCTTTCTTCTGTCTTATTGTTTGTGTATAGAAATGTACTTTATTTCTGTGCATTGATTTTACATCCTGCCACTTTGCTGAATTCCTGTATGATTCTAGTAGTTTTGGGGTAGAATATTGGGTTTTCCACATAGTGTATCATGTCATTTGCTAAAAGTAAGAGTTTGACGTCTTCTTTGCTGATTCAGATACCTTTTATTTCTTCTTCTTGTCTGATTGGTGAGTCTAGGACTTCTAGTACTATGTTGAACAGCAGTGGTGATAGTGGACATCCTTGCTGTGTTCCTGACCTTAGGGGAAAAGTTCTCAGTTTTCCCCATTGAAAATGGTATTTGTTTGTGGACTTTTCATAGATGGCTTTTATGATATTGTGGCATGTTCCCTCTATCTCTCCACTGTGAGGAGTTTTAATCAAGAAAGGATGCTATACTTTGTCAAATGCTTTTTCTGCATCTATTGGGAGGATCATATGGTTCTTGTCCTTTCTTTTATTTATGTACTCTATAACATTGATTGATTTGCAGATGTTGAACCAAACTTGCATCCCAGGAATAAATCCCACTTGGTCATAATGAATAATCCTTTTAATGTACTGTTCGATCCTATTGGCTAGGGTCTTGGTGAGAATTTTTATATCCATGTTCATCAGGGGATATTGGTCTGTAATTCTCCTTTTTGATGGGGTCTTTGGTTTTGAGATCAAGATAATTCTGGCCTCACAGAAAGAGTACAGAAGTTTTCCTTCCATTTCTCTTTGTTTGAAAGTGCTTCAGAAGAATAGGTATTAGTTTTTCTTTGAATGGTTGGTAGAATTTCCCTGGGAAGTTGTCCAGCTCTGGGCTCCTTTTTTGGTGGGAAGATTTTTGATTACTTCTTCAATTTCCTAGCTGGTTATGGGTCTGTTCAGGTTTTCCATTTCTTCCTGGTTCAGTTTTGGTAGTCTATACTCTCTAGGGATGCATCCATTTCTTCCAGATTGCCTAGTTTGTTGGTATATAGTTGCTCATAATATGTTCTTATAATTGTTTGCATTTCTTTGATGTTGGTTGTGATCTCTCCTCTTTCATTCATGATTTTATTTATTTGGGTCCTTTCTCTTTTCTTTTTGATAAATCTGGCCATGGGCTTATCAATATTATTAATTCTTCCAAAGAACCAGCTCCTAGTTTCATTGGTATGTTCTATTGTTCATTTGGTTTCTATTTCATTGATTTCTGCTCCAATCTTTATTATTTCTCTTCTCCTGCTGGGTTCAGGTTTCCTTTGCTATTCTTTGTCCATTTTCTTTAGGTGTAAGGTTAGGTTGTGTATTTGAGACATTTCTTGTTTCTTGAGAAAGTCTTGTATTGCTATATACTTTCCTCTCAGGACTGCCTTTGCTGTGTCCCAACGATTTTGAACAGTTGTATTTTCATTTTCATTTGTTTCCATGAATTTTTAAAATTCTTCTTTAATTTCCCAGTTGACCCATTCATTCTTTAGGAGGATGCTCTTTAGTCTCCACGTATTTGAATTATTTCCAACTTTCCTCTTGTGGTTGATTTCTAGTTTCAAATCACTGTGGCCTGAAAATATGCAGGGAATGGCTCCAATCTTTGGTACTGGTTGATATCTGATTTGTAACCAATATGTGATCTGTTCTGAGAATGTTCCATATGCACTTGAGAGGAATGTGTATTCTGTTGCTTTAGGTTGGAATGTTCTGAATATATATGTGAAGTCCATCTGGTCGAGTATGTTATTCAAAACCCTTGTTTTGTTTTTGATCTGCTTAGATGATCTGTCCATTGCAGTGAGTGGGGTGTTAAAGTCCCCTACTATTATTGTATTATTATCAATGTGTTTCTTTAATTTTGTTATTAATTGGTTTATATAATTGGCTGCTCCCATGTTGGGGGCATAGGTATTCAAAATTGTTAGATGTTACTGTTGAAAGACTCTTTAATTATGATATAATGTCCTTTCTCATCTCTTATTACATTCTTTGGTTTAAAATCTAATTTGTCTAATATAAAGATTACCATCCCAGCTTTTTTTTTTTTTTTTTTGATGTCCATTAGCATGATGAATGGCTTTCCACAACCTCATTTTAAATCTAGAGGTGTCTTTGGGTCTAAAATGAGTCTCTTGCAGACAGCATATTGATGGGTCTTGTTTATTTTTTAATCCAATCTGATACCCCAAATACTATAATAAGAGATGAGGAAGGGCATTATAGCATACACACACACAAACACACACACACACACATGCGCATATATATATATATATATATATATGTATAATAAATACATTGGAAGGATAGAATGTAGCTCTAAAGATGAAAATTTTAAAAAAGAAGACTTTAACAAAACAAAACAAAAAGAAGAAAAAAAAAGAGAATGAACATGATCATACAGGTGAAGAGAACAGAGCCATACACTAGTTTCTGGGTGTATTTTGTTCTGTTAGGAGAAACTGCAACCCAAAATTGTAGAAGGAAAAACTTACACATACACACACACACACACACAATATTAAATATAATTTAATATGAAGGATAGAATGAAATTGTAAAAATGAAAATTAAAAAAGATTTGAAAAAATGAGTTGATAAAATAAGAAATTGGTTGAAAAGGGAAAGAGAAAAAAACAAAATTGAAAGACTAAAGAATTATGGGTAGATAACCATGAATTCTATATTCTATATTCCCCCAGTGCTAAAGTTTTGCAGTTCTCAGCAATCAATAAACTTGGTGTCAGCTGGATGTTCTTGCTGATCTTCTGGGGGAGGGGCCTGTTGCATTGATTCTCAAGTGTATTTGCCCTGGACAGAATTGAACTGCCCTTGCCAGGGACCAAGCTAAATAATCTGTTCTGGTTTGTTCTCTGTGGTTTTGTTTCCTGAAGACTTTCCACGCAACTTTAGAGGGTGAGAATGAACATGGTGCCCTTCCAATCTCTATCCCCAGAGCCTCAGCTCTCAAGCTCAGGACCTCACTCCTCCCACCCCACTTTCCTCCCTCAGGGAAAAACAGTCAATCACTTCCGTCTCCCTGGTCTCCATTCACAATCTGTGCCCACCCAGCTTGTGACTGAGCATTTCTATCTTAGGCACTGGATCCCATTTCGAGTCTCCAAACCCTGTAGACTCTTGGGCATGCTCCCACACTGTTCCTCCCAGGGGAGGAAGGGCAGGAGGTGTCTTGCTTGTTCTGCTGTTTCTTGGGCCCCTGCTTAGGGGAACAGTTGCCTGACTATTCCACAATTCATGGTTTATGGCAACTCTGAGCTGAAAGTCCAATGCTGGCTCACTGATGGCAGCTGACTTCCTCACTCCGATGCCTGGGAACTCTGCCACACTCAGGGACCCTCAGTCTTCCAGTGACCCTGAGGATCCTGAGACCACACTGTCCCACCTAGGATTATACCCCATTCACCACCTGAGGGCCTTTCAGGCAGGGATGTCCCTCACCAGAGCAGACTTCTAAAAGTTCTGATTTTGTGCTCCACTGATAAATCACTTTCCAGTGTCACCTTACTAAGACTCCCTCCCCCTGTGGTTTATCTTCCCATATATCACCTTGGATTCACTTCTGTGCACTTCCTACCTTGCAGATAGTGGTCACTCTTCTATTTGTAGGGTTTCAGCTATTTTTTTCTTATATCTCTGGTTGAGTTCACTGGTATTCAGAATGATTTAATAGATATCTAGCTGAATTCCTGGGACCAGACAAAACTAAGGTCTTCTACTCCTCCACCATCTTGTACTGGCTCTCCTTCCACAATTTATCTTAAGAAATATTAAGTGATCCAGGATATGTGTATAATGATGTTCATAGTGATTAATTATAAAATTAGAAATCAGAAGTGACACGTGCAACACCAATTAACACACCTAAGAAGAAGAGCTTTGCACAGTGGCAGTACCGTAGCCAATGAGGTTTATCCGAGGCGCGATTATTGCTAATTGAAAACATACCTAAGAAGATGCACATGTGGGATTCTCTGCATCCCAGTAAATGATGGTGTAGAGCTGTAGGATCTAGGAGCATGGTAGAAGTTTGGGCATCCCAAATCCAGTGAGATAGCAGATAATGAACCTTCATGTCGAAAACCTGGTCAGTAACTCCGAGGGGTTCTTGAAAGGGAGAAAGCAGGGAAAATCAGATTCATGAAGAAGCAGAAGCAGAGGAACTGACAGTCCCCACCCTTACTGGAGAGAGATGCCTCAAAGGTAAGAGCCATTGGAAGTTCTCAGTCCAGAGGCATGAGAAACCAGTGGAGGCACCTTACATTCTTCAAGGTGGTTTCTTTGGGAAGCTGAGTCTGAAAACCTCTTTCTCAACAGGATCATATTAGTGGGGCTGGAAAGTCCAGGCAGAACACCAGGAATGCCTACACCAAGCAGGGAGGAGTGAGAGGGAGGTAGCCCCATCTCAATCACATGAGCAACTCTGGGGCAACCCCTACTCTAGGCTAAGGTGAATGACACCAGCAGAGGAAAGGGATTCTCAGGTCCACAGATGAGCAGATCACACACCATGAAAGACAGGCACTGGACTCAACAAATGGAAATGACTCTTGAAGAAACAGAGCAAACAATATGATTTTAGCATGTGCACAAGTGAGGCAAGTAATAACAGCATGTGGTGAAAGTGGCTTTTGGAATATGAGGGGAGCCTTAGTATATTCAGTAATGAGACTTGGATTCATTAAGTCACTTAGATACACATTTGCAAAAAAAAACGAGATTCCTCTTTCTATAACTAGTGTTTCTGGAATTTATTTTTGAGAAGGAAGTTAATATAAAAAACAGCCTGTAGTTGTTATGCATATAACATTGATGTAAATAAAGCCCAATCCACAGAAGTTATTATGGAGAACATGGAAAGTTTTTAAAAAGTAATTTTAAATATCTCTATGATAAAAGGCATTACAAGCAAAGATATAAGACATGTAAAAACCTGGGACAAGAATCTCACATATATAAACATCATATAAAAATTTAATACTAAACTATAGAAAGAAGTTCCCAATCATTTTAAAGACTAACAACACAGGCGTCAGGATATGACCACAGTTTTCACAGTACAGGAAAGGTACCAGCCAATGTAAGCATCACCATTATTCAGGGAAATCCAAACTAAAATGATCATGATATAATACTTTTCACCAGTTAGGCTGGCAAATATTAAAATATGTGATGATTTCAGATGTTAGCAGATGTGGGAAAATGGTTTTTCCAGTTGTTGGGGGAGAACAAATCAGTACAGCTCTTTTGAGAACAGTTTGGTATATTTATTAAAATAAAGGATATACACATACTTCAAGTTAGCAATTCTTCTTTTCTGTGTCCACTTTGGAGAGATAAGTGCATGCCTGGGGCCTTGGGGAGACGTTCGCAGCAGCTGTGTTTACTAGAGCATGAAATCATGTGAAGGATGACGAGTGTGTGGTGTGGGCTGAAGGGGAGGGGACTCTATTTTCATATTGCTGAAATCTTTTGTGATGCATTCAGAAACTGATTCAAAAAAATAAATTGCTAGGTGAGAAAAGTAGATGAGAGAATGAATTTATGTGTGTTAGAAAAACTACTATGTGGGGGGCACCTGGGTGGCTCAGTGGGTTGAGCCTCTGTCTTTGGCTCAGGTCATGATCTCAGGGTCCTGGGATCGAGCCCCGCATCGGGCTCTCTGCTCAGCAAGGAGCCTGCTTCCCCCCCCCCCACTCTCTGCCTGCCTCTCTGCCTAAATGTGATCTGTTTGTCAAATAAATAAATAAAATCTTTAAAAAAATTACTATGAATGTGCACACACGGTAATACATATACATGTTGGAAAGAAAGACAGGACAGGAAAGAAAACCATCAAAACATTAGTGGTGTCAAATCGCGTCATAGAAAATTATAAGCTCTTTTTGGTTTTGTTTCCCTTTATTTTCTTATTTATTTATTTTTTTACAAAAACATAAATTATTTTGGTAGTATATATTTTTAAGGACATCATCACCCAGGGATTGCAAACACTCTGGGTGGATTTCAGAGCATTGTGAGCCTTGACCGTGGCAGGGTTGGGGGCAGAGCTCATGGCTTGGTCCACTGGGAAGGGCAGGGGGGGCCAGGCATGAGAAAGGGGGTACTCATGGTGTTCTAGGGTCTGTGGGTTATCCAGAACCAGCATCCCTGCCTGGAGATGCTCTGGTTCTTCTGAGGTCAGAGCATACTTTTTATTCCTTCACCATGAGCCTGTGTGTCACATGAACCCCCTTCATATTCTGCCCTGCTCCATTTGTTTGATACGTTCCATGCAGCTTGGTGGGGTCTTACCTACAGCAAAGCCAGCATGTGTTACTCCAGGGGGACACTCCTGAGGTTCAGTGAGCAAGGACTGAGGCAAATGTGCCTCTGCACCGGGTGTCACGATGACTGGCCATGTCCACACTGGTGGCTCTGTGGGCGGGCGTGAGTGAGGACTGTCATCAGCTCCCTCACTCACGCACTTGTGCCTCCTCCTGGATTTGCTGCAGGAGTCTTGGGTACAGAAGCCTCTCAGATAGTGACCAAACAAAGGAGAAGCCGAAAAACATGTATGAAAGGAAATGTTTCCCAAGATGAATATGTCATTTGTTGAAAGTCTGGCTCAAGGTTTAGGAGCAGCTTAAACCGCCCAAAGGGAACTCAGGGCCCCAGTCCAGAATGAGACACCCAGACCCAACTGTGATTCCAAGCAGCTCCACTTCTGTGAGATATGTGCCTTCAGTGAGCATCCCCAGCTCCCCAGAAAGGTGTCATACGCACGTTCCTCGAGAGGTGGGAACACGAGGAACCCTTGTTCTTGCTTAACTGGTCAAGGCTATGAAATGCAGGCCCCCAGAGTCCAGCTTTCCCAGAGATCAGAGACCACCACTGAAACAATAACAAGGGGACAAGTAGTTTTGGGGTCTTAAACTAAATTATAAGAAGTGTTGTGACTTCTGAAAGCAACTTGGAACCCCTGAGTCCTCCAGGGCCTTCATGCAGACAGGCGGGGTCGGAAATACTGGCACTTGGGCAAGACATCCACTTTGGTTTCCAGCATCAAGGAGATTTACTGAAAACCACAGTCCCATTCTAGTATTCTGATTGGGTGTGTCATATCCCTATTCGGTGGGACCGGGCATCATTTTGCACATGGAGAAGTGCAGACACTCAGTGAAAATCATGGTGGTTTCAGCAGCTAAGAAAATAAAACCTTTGAAATAAAACACAGAGAGAGAAAACCCTTTTCATAAGCATTAGAGCAAATTGGGGAAAATGCTGCAATAAAAATTATTGGGGTGTGTGTTCCCAAACATGTGACCGCTTCGTTTTAGGAGTTGCTGAGGCACACCCAGGCACTTGCGGCCAGGAAGGGAAGGATCACAGAATCAGACCCTTCTGTACACCACGGGTCAGAGGCAGTGTCCTGTGGGGTGGACCTGAGACCTCCAATGTTCAGACAACTCAGTTGCCGCCCTCCCTCCATGGGGCCGTCTCAGTGCTGGTCCCTGAGCTAGACACCACAGGACAGTTGTGAGCCAGGCAGGCACAGGGTCTGTCCTTTGAGAGGGTGTTTGGGTTAGAGTGAGTGCTTTATCCTGGAGGTGCTGCCGGCAAGCACAGGTATGGGAATGGGGAGGTGAGGTCCTGAGCAGGCAGTAAGGCAAGTGTTACCCTGCAGGTGCCTTTGTGGGCTACCAGAGCTCAGTCTTGAGAGGAATTGTCCAGAGCCAGTGCATGTACACACACAGGTACACACACAGGTACACAGACACACAGACACAGACACACAGATAAATACACACACAGGCAGACAGACATGCAGATAAACACAGTTACAGATATATACACACAGATACATAAATACATACATAGACAGATGTACACACACAGATACACACACATGATTCACAGACACAAATGCAAAAGCATAGGTACACACACAGAGACACACACAGGCAAACAATAAACCCACAGACACAAATAGGAAGTAGGCATGTGAACATGTGTGTGTGCGTGTGTGTGTGTGTGTGTGTGTGTGAGAGAGAGAGAGAGAGAGAGAGAGAGTGATATGACCACTAAGGGATGGTGGACAATAGCAGCAGCTTCTGATCCTATACCAGCGGGGGCATAGACCTCTAAACATTCTACTGAGTGCATTAGACATAGAAAAGAGAAGCCCATGGACATGGAGTAGGGGTAGAGAAATACATTGGGAAGAAGACAGGATAGATCTTCTGAGATGTGGGGTGGATGTAGGGTGCCATCAACATGTCCTTAAGCAAGAGTCCCGCAGACTGTCCCCATAGAGCTGGGGACAGCAGAGGCGGAGACCAGACTTCTCATGCCCAGTGCTGGGTCTACCCATCCATCTGTGTGGTCTTGGACAAGTTCCTTATTTTGTCTGTGTCACAGTGTCATCCTCAGAACAATGGGGTGATAGTGGCTGCCTCATGGATCATGGAAAGGATTCATGAGGCACTCAACACAGGTGCCGAGGAGAAGGCGTCCCTGTTGATCACTGCAGTGACTAGTGTTTGATGTTTCAGCTTCTGCTCAGCTTGGGAGAACAGGTTAGCCTGACCTGGGGAGATGGATGGTTTCTAACAAGAAAGTCTGGATTTCTTCCTTATGCTTTTCTCTTCCCTCCTTACAGGGATGCTCCCACATGTTCATGGTCTTTGTGATGGCATATTGTAGTTTCAGTTTCCATGAACAAACTGGGTGGTTAGACCAGCAGTTGGTAAGCTATGACTCCTGAAACAAATCTGGCCAACCACCAATTTTTGCATAACCTGTGTTTTATTTTTACATTTTTACAAGATTGGGAAAAATCAAATTATTAATATTACATGCCATGTAAATATTACAGGAGATTCAACGTTCAGTGTTCCATAAATAAAGTTTTATTGGAACACAGCAACATCCATTTGCTTATATTTTGCCTAGGTTTGCTTCAAGCCACGATAGCAGAGTTGACTAGTTGCAACCGAGACAAAAAGCCTTGCAAAGCCTGACACAGTTAATA